CTCCCCTCCATTCCCCACTCCACCGTTCCCGCGTCCTCCCCGCCATTCCCCACTCCACCATCACCTCTTCCTTCCCACCATGCCCCACTTCCCTGTCCCTTTGTCCTCCCCACCATTCTCAACTTCCCCGTCCCCACGTCCCCCACCACCCCAAACTCCGTCCCCTCGTCCTTCCCCACCATTACCCCCTCCCTAGTCTCTTCGTCCTCCCCACCATCTCTCACTTCCGTCCCCTCGTCATCCCCACCATTCCCCACTCCCTCGTCCATTGCCTACCCAAATGGCCTGATGTTCCCATCAGAAAATTGGGAACATCAAGTGATCTCATGTTCCCAATTTTGATTAGGAACATCAATCCCAGTTGATACACATTTGTCTCACTAATTCATTGTAAATATTTATTATCTAATGCTATTATTTTCCATGTGTGGGCCTATTGTTGGGTATAAATAGGGGCTTTCTCGCATGGGCCAATAGCCATTCTGCAGTTCTTGTGCGGTTCTTATTTGTACCCACCTATTTCCCATTCTTTTTTCATTATACCTGACCTCACTTCACCTCGAGGGGCCTCGTAGCCTGGTGGATAGCGCGCAGGACTCGTAATTCTGTGGCGCGGGTTCGATTCCCGCACGAGGCAGAAACAAATGGGCAAAGTTTCTTTCACCCTGAATGCCCCTGTTACCTAGCAGTAAAATAGGTACCTGGGTGTTAGCTGTCACGGGCTGCTTCCAGGGGGTGGAGGCTTGGTCGAGGACCGGGCCGCGGGTACACTAAAGCCCCGAAATCATCTCAAGATCTCAAGATAACCCCTCTCTCTCCTGCCTATATATTTGTCCAATATTTGACTTGCAAATCATTCATTCCTTCTGAAGATGTATTAATATACGAAAGTACTTAAGGAAATTCTTGTTTCAGTTCTTCCTCCGTGGTCTGACAGTCACATTTTTCATCACGTTAATTTTCGTGATTTAAACACACACACACACACACACACATTATTATATATATATATATATATATATATATATATATATATATATATATATATATATATTATATAATATTGCTACATAGACGATTTCGGGTGGAATTGACAGTGTAGACATATTTATGTTAAAAAAAAGGAATAGAGGACCGAGATTGACAACTCAATCAATATTTTCAAGTCACAGGGATGTAAGGAAGAGCTAAGTGCGAGAGCAGCAAATATGGAGAGGGAACTTGATTAGGTATTCGAAGCAAACTCCTGTCACAGTTCGGAAACACCTGTGAAAAAAAAAAATGTGATTATTGTTATCTCCAAACAGCAGCACTGAATCGTATAAAGAGTTTTACGGGAAAATATCGAATATCAAACAAGGAGATTGTCTACATCTTCCAGGATTGTCAAAAACATTTTTCACCCACACCTTACAGACTTCTCACTTCAGAAAAACAAACTAGTTTCTGTGGACGGATTTTCACTGTGTGAAAGAGGGGAGGGGGGAGGTATCTCTCCGGAAGGAATCAAAAAGTCAACAGGAAAGAGGTAACAAGTACAATACTGAAGGTGTCCGGAGTAGCATCGTAAGGGACCTCTGTTGTTTAATTTACCCCCCCCCCCCAACACACACATACTACATACACACTCCACAACCCCCCCCCCCCTCCCCGAAACACAACAGCCCCCCCCCCTCCCCGAAACACCCCCCCCCCCAAACACACAGTATTAAGTGTCCCTCCAATACAAACTGCTGGTCAGCTTCGTCTCAAAAATCACTTGCCGTCTTGTATTCACTCTAGAAATGATTTCATCACTCCATTACTCCTCATTCCCCTCGTTGCACTCTTTCCCCTTACCCAAACCTTGCTTCACCCCTCCCCCCACCCCACACCGTCCCCTCTTCCAACTTCCCGCCTCTCCCCCTCTTCACACGTTTCATTAAAAGCCAAAATGTCAATCACCGGCCTTTTCTTTCTTGGGGCTTCCTTGTAATGGCTTTTGGGCTGCCCTTTTTCACTGCGGTGTTTACCCGCAACGCTGTAGTGAAGGGCGGAGGTCAGGTCACTGTGGGCCCTGGAGTCGCCCTTTAGAATTTAAAACATTGCAGAGTTTTATCATGGCAGTTATAACAAAAAATAATTTCACCACCCACCTCTCTCTTTCAATTCTCTTTCATTATACCATTTTTCTTCCCATCTTCATCCCTCGTTTCTTGAACTTTCTCTCCCTTTCAGCTCTTTCATTCCTTCTATAAGCTCCTACTCTTCCTCTTTCTGTCCACAGTCTTTCCCTTGGCATTCTTCCATCTCCCCATCTCTCCTCTCTACTCCTCTCTCCTTCTCGCCTTATCTCTATCAGTCTCTGCCTGTGTTATCTTTTTCTCCTAATAATTTGTATCGTCTGTTTAAATGTAATTTTAATTATTCACATCATTTTAATTGTGAAACATTTACTTGATATAATAGCACATATGTAAGTTGAACTATAATAATTATGGTTTATTTTTATTGAGAATAATCTTAAAGGTTGATCTCTTACATGTCTCAGTCTCCAGTAAGTGCAAGGTTTCCTGCCGGAACTATAGAGGGAATAATAAGGTCAATCCGAGCAGAACCAATCATGGGTTAAGACTCCTTAGGTCTTCTCCAATCTCGTGCTCTCATTTTCCTTTTGGCCGCATATATTTTGTTATATATTCCCCGTCTTGTGCCACACCTTTCTGGTCACTACGTCAGTTTCTATATCTAGCCAACCACACCTCTTGTGCCCACACACCTCTTGTGCCCACACACCTCTTGTGCTCACACACCTCTTGTGCTCACACACCTCTTGTGCTCACACACCTCTTGTGCTCACACACCTCTTGTGCTCACACACCTCTTGTGCCCACACACCTCTTGTGCCCACACACCTCTTGTGCCCACACACCTCTTGTGCCTACACACCTCTTGTGCCTACACACCTCTTGTGCCCACACACCTCTTGTGCCCACACACCTCTTGTGCCCACACACCTCTTGTGCCCACACACCTCTTGTGCCCACACACCTCTTGTGCCCACACACCTCTTGTGCCCACACACCTCTTGTGCCCACACACCTCTTGTGCCCACACACCTCTTGTGCCCACACACCTCTTGTGCCCACACACCTCTTGTGCCCACACACACCTTGTGCCCACACACACCTTGTGCCCACACACACCTTGTGCCCACACACACCTTGTGCCCACACACACCTTGTGCCCACACACACCTTGTGCCCACACACACCTTGTGCCCACACACACCTTGTGCCCCACACACCTTGTGCCCACACACACCTTGTGCCCACACACACCTTGTGCCCACACACACCTTGTGCCCACACACACCTTGTGCCCACACACACCTTGTGCCCACACACACCTTGTGCCCACACACACCTTGTGCCCACACACACCTTGTGCCCACACACACCTTGTGCCCACACACACCTTGTGCCCACACACACCTTGTGCCCACACACACCTTGTGCCCACACACCTCTTGTGCCCACTCACCTCTTGTGCCCACTCACCTCTTGTGCCCACTCACCTCTTGTGCCCACTCACCTCTTGTGCCCACTCACCTCTTGTGCCCACTCACCTCTTGTGCCCACTCACCTCTTGTGCCCACTCACCTCTCGTGCCCACTCACCTCTCGTGCCCACTCACCTCTCGTGCCCACTCACCTCTCGTGCCCACTCACCTCTCGTGCCCACTCACCTCTCGTGCCCACTCACCTCTCGTGCCCACTCACCTCTCGTGCCCACTCACCTCTCCAGTCTCACGTGACACGTCACTGGCAGCTGCCTACGACTAACGAGAGATCGACTCGTTAGTTGATACCCATGATGATACCTTATACGTTATCAGCCTCTAACCAGTCCGCCGCCTCTCCTCCCTGTTCCACTCTCCCTTCCTCTAACTTTCTGCTGTCCCTTCATCTCTGTTTCATCCCCCATTCCACTATCCCGCCAACGCAGCCATCTTTTATCCTTCCCCTCTTGAAGCCAAGTATATCATTAGCATATTTTTAATGTATAATGACGTATCTGAAGCTTCCCATGTCCGTCCCTCTTGCAACTTGGAAAAAAAGTCGAGAACGTATTGTTCCATCATTCAACTTCTTATTGCCATTTTAACATTAAACTATTGCATCGAACCGCACTGATTAGACGATGTTTCTTTGTGGACATCAGTGGTGCAGGATACCAACTTGCAGAAATTGTTTTCCATTTTGGTATGCATCTGGCAAATTAATCTTGTCCCCCCCCCCCCACCAGCTTCCATCGACTAGGCTGGTTGTCCTTTATATAACTTTTTTCACTGGTATAAAGTCTTCGTATATCATCAGGTCATACTAGGATGAGTTATAAGTATGGAGGCGATATTTGTTAATCCTGTTTTGTTTATTAATCCTGTTTTGTTTATTAATCCTGTTTATTAATCCTGTTTTTTTTGTATCGTTACTGTAAAGGTCGGCGAGGGTACGTTCACATGGAGTTCGATATGTTGAAATGTGACAGTATTTTGAAATTAGATTAGCTAAGACAGTGATAATCTATAACTTGAAATAATATTTACCAAAGAACTGGTCCTGTATTTGAATGCTGTGCTCGGATATTTATTGTATGATGCTAAATATTGAAAAGGTGATTATGAGATGAAATACTAATAACCAATGAGTAAAAGGAGAGAGATAATAAAGTTTAAAGATAAGTGGAAAGCAGTTTGAAGAATCTAAGGAAAATTAGCACTAGGTAAAATGATAAAATTCTTAATACATCATGAAATATAGGAGAAGAAATGAACTTGAAGGTAATTAATGAAAAGATTAAATGATTATTGGAAGAACTACATTAAAATTGGAATTGAACAGAACAAAAAGTGTAATTATTAAATAAAATGGGATACAATACTGCAGTGTATTAAGAAAAGGGTAGAGGGGTGAGAGGACTTGTATCCACCGTGACCAACTGTGCTGGACTTGTACCCACCGTGACCAACTGTGCTGGACTTGTACCCACCGTGACCAACTGTGCTGGACTTGTACCCACCGTGACCAACTGTGCTGGACTTGTACCCACCGTGACCAACTGTGCTGGACTTGTACCCACCGTGACCAACTGTGCTGGACTTGTACCCACCGTGACCAACTGTGCTGGACTTGTACCCACCGTGACCAACTGTGCTGGACTTGTACCCACCGTGACCAACTGTGCTGGACTTGTACCCACCGTGACCAACTGTGCTGGACTTGTACCCACCGTGACCAACTGTGCTGGACTTGTACCCACCGTGATCAACTGTGCTGGACTTGTACCCACCGGGACCAACTGTGCTGGACTTGTACCCACCGGGACCAACTGTGCTGGACTTGTACCCACCGTGACCAACCATGCTGGACTTGTACCCACCGTGACCAACCTTGCTGGACTTGTACCCACCGTGACCAACCATGCTGGACTTGTACCCACCGTGACTAACCATGCTGGACTTGTACCCACCGTGACCAACCATGCTGGACTTGTACCCACCGTGACCAACCATGCTGGACTTGTACCTACCGTGACCAACCATGCTGGACCTGTACCCACCGTGACCAACCATGCTGGACTTGTACCCACCGTGATCAACCATGCTGGACTTGTACCTACCGTGACCAACCATGCTGGACTTGTACCTACCGTGACCAACCATGCTGGACTTGTACCCACCGTGACCAACCATGCTGGACTTGTACCCACCGTGACCAACCGTGCTGGACTTGTACCCACCGTGACCAACTGTGCTGGACTTGTACCCTACGTGACCAACTGTGCTGGACTTGTACCCTACGTGACCAACTGTGCTGGATTTGTACCGTCCATGACCAACCGTGCTGGACTTGTACCCACCGTGACCAACTGTGCTGGACTCTTGTACCCACCGTGACCAACTGTGCTGGACTTGTACCCACCTTAACCAACCATGCTGGACTTAAAGCCACCGTGACCAACTACGTTATAGCGAAATATTGAGGCGTTCCTAAGCGAGAGTCCAGTATAATGACAGATTTGGCAGGAGTCCAGCTTTGGACAAACTACATTGGAGCCTCCCCGGCTACACAGAACGCTTCAGCCGACCGGATGGGGGGAAAAAAACTGACCTAAAATCACCACTGTTTAAAAATCATAATCCATTAAATCAAATCGAATCCTGCCCATAATGGCCCCAGACCCACAGCCCGAGCGAGAGAGGAACGACCCCGCGTGCTGGCCAGCCAGTCTCCCTTAATTAAAATAAACTTCTAAACTGGAAAATCAGGTCCAAATGTATATTTTTTTCCCACTAAATCGCAGGCAGCGCTCGAGTCCCCTTATGCAACCGGCGAAGTAAATCAAAACAAACAGGTTTCGATAAATACAAATGAATATCGGTCGTGTCTGAATTTGGCATAATTTAATGAATGATTTGATTTGTAGGCTTATAGTGCCGATTCTCGGGGAGGGGGGGGGGTGGAGGGGTGCCAGAGTGGCACAGTTTACGGATCGCAGTAATAATGTACGAGAACGACATAAGCTGATTTGCGTTGTAAGTCTAATTCCTGGAGATATGTATTTAGATCTTGAGGGGCTGATAAATGCTTCAGATTTGCTCGAACTGGCGAGAGAGAGAGAGAGAGGGGGGGGGGGGAGGGGGCACAGAAAGAAACGGGAAGATAAAACACACACACACACACACACACACACACACACACACACACACACACACACACACACACACACTCGCACAGGGGCCTCGCGGCTGAGTGGATAGTGCCTGGGGGATCGTATTACTAGTGGCCCGGGTTCGATTCCCGACGGAGGCGTAAACAAATGGGCAGTTTCTTTCACGCTGATGCACCTGTTCACCTAGCAGTAAATAGGTCCCTGGAGTTAGACAGAAGTTACGGAACTGCTTCCTGGGGGCTGCTGCCTGTGTGTGTGTGTGTGTGTGTGTGTGTGTGTGTGTGTGTGTGTGTGTGTGTGTGTGTTAGAAATATATGTAGTAGATATAGTAGAGGGAAAATTGGTTAGAAAGGCTGGGTCCAGGAGGTAATTGCTCGATTCTGCAGACACAAATAGTAAAGAAAAAAATAGTAAATTCACACACACACACACACACACACACACACACACACACACACACACACACACACACACACACACACACAGAGGAGGGGTGCCCTGTGGCTGAGTGGACACCGCTTGGGACTCGTAATCCTAGGGTCCAGGTTCGATCCCCGGTGATGGCGAAAAAAAAATGGGCAGAGTTTCTTTCTCCCTGATGCGCTTGTTACCTAGCAGAAAATAGGTACCTGGAACTTACACAGCTGATATTGCCTGGTTCCTGGTGTGTGTACTCACCTAGTTGTGTTTGAGGGGGTTGAGCTCTGGTTCTTTGGTCCCGCCTCTTAACCGTCAATCTACTGGTGTACAGACCCCTGCGCTTCTCAAGCTCTATTATATGTACATTTGAAACTGTGTATGGAGTCAGCCTCCACCTCATCACTGCCTAATGTATTTCACTTGTTAACTACTCTGACACTGGAAAAGTTCTTTCTAATTCTTTTCTTTCTTGCTCATGTGGGTACTCAGTTTCCACCTGTGTCCCCTTTTTCGCGTACCACCCGTGTTGAAAAGTTTATCCTTATCTACCCTGTCAATTCCTCTGAGAATTTTGTAGATAGTTATCATGTCTCCTACTCTTCTGTCTTCCAGTGTCGTGAGGTGCATTTCCCGCAGCCTTTCCTCATAACTCATGCCTCTTAGTTCTGGGACTAGTCTAGTAGCATACCTCGGAACTTTTTCCAGCTTCGTCTAGTGCTTGACAAGGTACGGGTTCTATGCTGGGGCCGCATACTCCAGGATTGGTCTTACATACGCTGTATACAAGGTTCTGAATGATTCCTTACACAGGTTCTTGAAGGCTGTTCTGATAGCCAGAATCGCGTATACCGCAAATGTATTTTTTTTTTTATGTGGCCTTCAGGAGACAGGTTTGGTGTAATATCAACTCCTAGATCTTTCTGTCCGTTTCATGAAGTACTTCAATTCCCATTCGGTATCTTGTGTCTGGCCTCCTGTTTCCACCGCCTAGTTTCATGACCTTGCATTTACTCGGGTTTAGTAGCCATTTGTTGGACCAGTCATTCAGTCTGTTGAGGTCATCTTGTAGCCTCCTCCCATCATATTCTGTTTTAATCCTCCCCATAATTTTTGCATCATCAGAAAACAATGAGAGGAACGATTCTATACGTTCTAGGAGATCATTTACATATATCAGAAACAGTATGGGTCGAAGGACTGAACCCTGCGGGACTCCACGGGTGACGTCTCGCCAAACTGAGGCCTCACCCCTCACAGTGACTCGTTGTCTTCTATTGCTTGGGTCTATACCCTCTGGAAGGTCGTTTACATATATTAGAAACAGGTTGGGTCCAAGTACAAGAACTGTGGAACCCTGCTGGTGACATCTCGCCACACCGATGTCTCCCCCCCCCCTCACAGTTACTCACTGTTTCCCGTTGCTTACTCCCTTATCCACTGGAGCACCTTCCCTTTCACTCTTGCCTGCATCTCCAGCTTTTTCACTAGCCTCGTGTGTGGTATTGTGTCAAAGGCTTTCTGGCAATCTAACAATATGCAGTCTGCCCACTCCTCTCTTGCCTGATTTTTGTTGCCTGGTCATAGAATTCAATTAATCCTGTGAGGCAGGACTTGCCATCCCTGAACCCATGTTGTTGCTGTGATACAAAGTTCTTTCACTCCAAATGTTCCACGAGCTTTTTCACACAATCTTCTCCATCAGCTTGCATGGTATGCAAGTTAGGGACACTGGCCTGTAGTTCAGTGCTTCCTGTCTATCCCCCTTCGTGTATACCGGGAATTCATTAGTTGTCTTCCAAAATTTTTGGCAATTCCCCTGTTACCAGTGATTTGTTATACACCATGGAGAGTGGCAGGCACAGTTCTTCTGCTCCTTCCTTTAATATCCATGGGGAGATTCCATCCGGGCCTATAGTCTTTGTCACATCCAACTCTAGCAAGAGCTTTCTTAAATCCCCACTGGTATCTCAAAATCTTTTAGTGGTTCCTGGTTAACTTATATATGGAACTTCCCCTTGCTCTAATGTGAAGACCTCTTGGAATTTCTTATTCCAGTAGGTTGTGTGTGTGTGTGTGTGTGTGTGTGTGTGTGTGTGTGTGTGTGTGTGTGTGTGTGTGTGTGTGTGTGTTTCTCCTAGTTGAATTCACGTAATTGTGCTTGCGGGGGTTGAGCTCTATTCTTTCAGTCCGCCTCTCAACTGTCAATCAACTTTTTTTTCAACACACACACACACACACACACCACACACACACACCACACACCACACACACACACCACACACCACACACACACACCACACACACACACACACACACACACACACACACACACACACACACACACACACCACACACACACACACACACACACACACACACACACACACACACACATTAGAAAGAACTTTATTAGTATCAGAGTGGTTGACAAATGGAATGCATTAGGAAGTGATGTGGTGGAGGCAGACTCCATGCACAGTTTCAAGTGTAGGTATGATAGAGCCCAGTAGTCTCAGAAACCTGTACTCCAGTTGATTGACAGTTGAGAGGCGGGACCAAAGAACCAGAGCTGAACCCCCGCAATCATAACTAGGTGAGTACAAATAGATGAGTACACACGAAAGCAGCCCGTAACAGCGGTCTAACTCCCAGGCACCTATTTACTGCTGGATAACAGGGGCATCAGGGTAAATAAAAACTCTGCCCATTTGGTTCTGCCATCAGCCGGGATCAATCCTGGAAGCTAGGATTAAGAGTCCAAAGCGCTGTCCATTCAGCTATCAATCCCTGTGTGTGTGTGTGTGTGTGTGTGTGTGTGTGTGTGTGTGTGTGTGTGTGTGTGTGTGTGTGTGGTGAAAAAAAAGTTGACAGTTGAGAGGCGGGCCGAAAGAGCAGAACTCAACCCCCGCAAGCACAACTAGGTGAATACAACTAAATGAATACACACAATAGGCTCATGTCAATAGAATAACATCAGCAGCATGCATTACACTAGCAAACGTCGGAACTCCCTTCAGGATCATAAACAAGGAGGCATTTAGATCACTGAATACCGTCTATGTCAGGTCAGTTTTTGAGTATGTCGCCCCATCGTGGAGCCCTTTTTTTAAAAAAAAAAGATAATTCGAAAGGGTGCAGAAGTTTGAAAAGAGACTTGACCCAGAGGTGCGAGGGATGAAGTATGAAGAGAGACTGAAGGAACTAAACCTGACTAAGCAAGAAATCAGGAAGGAGAGGAAGGACATGATATAGTCTTGAAAAAAAAACTTAGAGGGATTGACAGAGAGGAAAAGTTTGCAGCGTATAACAATAGAACAAGGGAACACGAATGGAAGATTGAGACTCAAAAGTCTCAGAGATGTTGGAAGTAAAGGAGCAGGCTGTAGATGTAAACTCAATTAACAACTTTAAAAGCATTTA